AGAAATGGAAGCAGTGTCAGATCTTATACTCTTGGGCTCAAAGATCACTGAAGATGGTGACTGCAGCCATGAAATTAAAAGACGCTTGCTCCTTGGAAGGAAAGCTAGGGCGAATCTGCACAGCACACTAAAAAGCAGAGACACCACTTTGACCATGCAGTCAAAGCTATGGTTTTTCCAACAGCAACGTACAGCTGTGAGAGCTGAACTATAAGGAAAGCTGAGCGCCAGAATCAATGCTTTTGGATTATGGTGCTGGAGAAGACTTCTGAGAGTCCCTTGGACAGCAAGGAGGTCAAATCAGTCAATACTTAAAGAAATTAACTCGGGCTGTTCACGGGGAGGACAAATACTGAAGCTTCAATCCTTTGGCCACATAATGAAAAGACGGGACTCAGGGGAAAGGACCCTGATGTTGGGAAAGATTGAACGCAAAAGGAGAAAGGGCTGAGAGGATGAGATGGATGGATGGTGTCATGAAAACAACAAACACGAACTTGCTCAGACTTTGAGAGAAGGGCCTGGTGTGCTACGGTCCATGGGGTCAGAAAGAGTCAAGACATGACTGAACGACTGAGCAGACATGCACATGAGGAGTATCAGTCTGATGGCAGGATGGAGAAGAGGTACTCTAGGCAGGGAGATTGGCAGTAACAGAACAGGAGGAAATGACAGGAGCCTGGTAACCATGGGAGTGAGGAAGGGGACAGAGGGAAGAGGTGCCCTGAAGGGAGGATTGGTGAGACGTGAGGGAAAGGGGAGATGCAAGGACGACTCAGAGGCTGCATTCCTGGATGGCTGCAAGGTGGAGGATGTCCCTACTAGAAATAAGTGAGGAAATGAAGAGAAAGAAAGGTTTTGAAGGGCAAGAAAGGGAGGCTTGCTTTGGAGCGCCTCCCTTGGCGGCCTCCCTCTTTTACCATCTTTTTTAATGCTACACTTTGGTATCAAATGTTTTAAAGTCCAGCTACCACAGGACTGTGAGGGTCTGTCCACTGAGCAGGCTCAGAGTTAGGCTGCTATATCCCAATGCCCTTCTCCTGGGGAATCCCACATTCCCTAGCTGCTGGGGAAATTCTCTGACTCGTCTACTGAAAAACAGATTTCTCCCCAGTGGTTCAGAAATACAGGGTTAGAGAAAAACCGTGGTCCAAAGAGAAACACTGCCAACAAAGTTCTCTTCAAGGGGCTTCTCTGACTAGAAGGTGGTCAACTGTCCTATCGGGTTATAAGAGTAACTACTGAATGCAAGGAAATGCAGCTTCCCCTTCTGTACACAATGGGCGCCCACAAGACAGAGGCACAGGGTGGAGAGGAAGGTCAACAGGTAGGAAGTTGCAGCTTCGGCTAAGACTTCCACGTCATAAAAATATCTGCTTTCATTTCTCCAGGCCTTTATCAAATAGGCTCACTTCAATGACCTCACCTTGCAAGTGAATATATCAAAATTACAAAGAGTGAGCACGGCTCCCAAAAGAGAAGGAAGACATCACGCCATGCCTCTGCAGAGATGGGAGGCGTGGAATACTATATGTTTTCAGACTTGTTGGATGTGTTAATCAGTTTCACTTTCTTTCTCTTCTTCCTCTTTTTTTTCTTTCAAAAATTTCACTGTTGGGGCAGCTAGGTGGTGCAGTGGATAGAGCACCGGCCCTGAAGTCAGGAGGACCTGAGTTCAAATCCGGCCTCAGATCAAACACTTGACACTTACTAGCTGTGTGACCCTGGGCAAGTCGCTTAACTCCAACTGCCTAAAAACAAAAAGAAACCCTTGCTCTGCCTTAAGCTCTGCAAGCACATAAGCAGTGCTCTATTTTCTTTTGGTGATGTAAAAACAAAAGAGAGCAATAAAAATGTATCTTTTTTTTTTTAAAAACGGGGTGAACATGATAGGACTTCAAGGACTTATGTGATGTCACAATCGTATCATAGATTTAGAGGCAGCAGGGACTAAAGAAGACATGTAATTAGCCCCTCATTTGGCAAATGAGGACACTGAAGCCCAGAGAAGAAAGGTGACAGTGTCTTGTGTGAGGTCACAGGGATAGCAATAACTGCCAAATTCGTAGCCAGGTCCTCCTACATTTGGAGGGCAGTTAGATTGGCTCTGCTGGCTAGGCACAGGGGACAGGGACAGTTAGTTTCAAAGAGAGATTTCAAAGAGAAAGTCAAGCTTATTCTTTGTAATTTTGATACATTCAATACAAGGGTAAACTAACTATGAGGCAGTCCCAAAACGCATGGTTTGGGGCAGGGGGTGGTGTCCCTCTCCAGATGTCTTTGTGAGGGCTGGGTTGTCCAGCCCTTGTCAAGCTGACTCGTACAACCAACTTCTGTTTGGGGCCAAATTCAGCAGATGCCTCTGAGTCCCGGGATTCTGAGGTGTACAGCTTGTCTTTGGTCCAATCCCTGAGGGACTTCCTACCAGAGGCTGGGATGAGTCAGTTTTCCTGGCCACATGGCAGGGGGGTATCTGAAAAGAAACGATTCAGACAGGATTTGCACCCCTCAGTCCATTCAACGATCCGCCCGTGGACCGCTGGTTGGCGATGACTGGGAGCTTCCTCCTGGCAGGGTGCTCACTGGCCTCCCTCCATCATCAGTCAACACTTCATCAGGCGTGGAAACCAGTTTTAAGGTGAGCTGAAAAATTTTAGGACAGATCTGTTTACAAGCGGCTTGGTAGACCTGCCAGCCTCCTGTCTCTCCACTCAGCCATTCCTTTGCTAACAGCTACTAAAACAATCTTTCTAAAGCAAAGGTCTTAAGCAGTGCCGACCCTACTCGAGAAATGCAGCGGCCCCTCTTCCCTCCACAAGACCCAAGCTCCTTCCTTTTTAGGACATTTGAGACCTGGCTCCAGACATCTGGCATTGCTCCAGCCCTGGAAGGATGAATTCCAGGCAAACCGGCCCACCTGCCTGAAATTTAACCTTTCGTCTCCCGCCTCCAAGCCTGGGGGCCACTCCTTCCTCATTTCTGCGTCTGGAATCCTCAGCGTCCTTCAAGGCTGAGCTTGGGGGCCACCTCCTGCAGGCCTTTGTACATAAGCTGCCCTGTGCTTACTTACTTACACAGTCATATACTGTATCCCCCAGGAGAAGGCACACTCTTTGAGCATAAAGAGTACTTTTCACCTTTGTTTTTATGCCCTTGAAGCCAAGCACATTACTCTGCACAGCAGGATCGATGTTTTAACCGATGTCCCCTCCAAACGGAATAATGCCTCTCCCCAAACCTGCGTCCTTGAAATCTGTCTTTTTTCTCTAAGTCGGGCAGATCACGCATGAGAAAAAGAGGAAGAAGCCAGGACTTATTGAGTCCTCGTGTGCCTCGTCAGAACAGGGGGCTTAGGAAAGCTGAAAGCTGCCTCCTTCAGGTACGCCATCTTGCCAATCAACAGGAATGTCTGTGGTCCCTGGCATTCTGAGAGAAGGTCTTTGGTCTGCCTAAAATACGGCTCTAGCTGGGTGAAGAGCCAGGAATCGGCTTTGCCCTCTCTCTGCATAGCTCACCCCCCTGGGGGAACAAAAGTCCAATGCGAGCGGCCTCTGAGAAATAAAGAAACGCCAGTGACCCAAATCTGAGCAGCAGGGCTGGGAGCGATGGGGGCCGGTGCCCCCCTCTCCTCGGCCTTTTAAGAGCACTTCCTCAGCAGGTGGGGGATGCTCTGCTCTCCCCTGTGCCCCCCCACTACTTGGTTGCACTGACGGGAAGCGACAGCCCTGGCAGCCCCAATGTGTCGGGCTCGAGCACGTTCTCCCTCCCCTGAAAGCCCAGAACAGCCAGAATGAATTATTAATCCAGTTCACAAAAACGCGCTCAGGCTCGGTTTTCCAGCTGATCACACTTCAAATGGCCGGAGAGATTAGGGACAGTTCAATGGTAGCTTTTAGTTGCTACAGGGCTTCAAAAGTGGCACGCCACCCGGAGGAACTGGAGGAGGGTCACATCCTCAAAACACAACCGCACAACTAAGCTGGAGAGTGTATGTGTGTGCGTACAAACCACAGATGACAGGGTGAGGCCTTCGTGACCCAGATAAGGTGCTCTAATCTAACCTGCTCCTCGGGCAAACGGGGCGTCAGGAGCCCAGCGATCTAAGTGACCTTGGCAAGCTGCCTTCAATCCGCCCGTCCGAGAGCCCCCTCTCAGCTCTGTTCTCTGACTCCATCTCCACAAGGTCCTGCTTGGATGGCGGGTCTCTGAAGACTTGAGGCTTGAGTCTGTGCAAAGCAAGATGACGCCTTTGAGACTCAGAGACACAGAACAAAATGGCAGACAAGGCACCTTCATGGAGACAAATTTAAGTTAACACCTCAGGCATATTACAAATTCTATAGAACTCTTAGACTCGGCTGTGAGGTTTTGAGAGAAAATGAAAAAGACCAAGGGGCGGACAAGGAGATAACTGGAAAGGGGGGAGCAACAGGTTGGGAGTGCCCAGATGAAGCTCAGCTCTGCCTTAATGACCTTAGCGATGGTAGACAGTCCCTGTTAACCTCATTGTGCCTCAGTTTTCTCATCCCTAAAACAAGGGGTTGAGCTGGCTCATTTTCAGTGGAAGGTTTCACAAAAGACAGAGACACCATCTGGGCACAGGATGGATGGAGCTGTCCCCTGAGGTCTGAAGGGTTCCAGCTGTCTGATGACCCCATCGGGGATACTGCAGAGGCAACATAAAGCTGGCAGAGCATCCCTGGGGCCGACCTGAACAACAAGGAAATGCTTCACCTTTTCAAGGAGAAGAGCTGTCAGGTTAAATTGGATGCAGCTGAGTCCTTCTATATTCGTGCCTTCACAGTCATTCATTTGCAAGGGGATTTTGTTTATTCGTCTGCTTGCTCTTAACTGGAGGAAGAAGTTGGTGGAAAAGGGGGTACGGCAAGGTAGTGACGAGCCCCCTCCCCCCTCAAAAAAAAAGGGTAGGTGTTGAAACATTTTCAAAAGGCCCAGAGAACAGGAGGAAGTTCAGGAGAAAGAACAAACAAGGAAGACCATTTTGAAAGTACTATGTGAATTTATTATGTGCATTTTAAAAAAGCATACAGTATGCAAAAGTTCATAGACGATCTTTCTGTGTTCTGCTTTGTACATGGAGATGCTCATGGGTTTTGTTTTTGTGTTTTTGATGTTTGTTAAATCTAGAATTTAAAAATTAAATTTAAAAAACAGAAACCCAAGAAAAATGTATACAAATACAAAATATCACCACTTCCCTTGAAAAGTTGGACCCTCTGAACCAAGAAAAATCAGCATGTTATGTTAGAAATTCAGAGTTCAAAGATCTGGGTTCCAGTGATGGCTCAGTCAGCCGGTGGCCCTTCAGCAAAATGAGGTGGTTGGATTCAATGACCCTGGAGGGTCCACTCAGCTCTAAATCTATGGTCCCGTGATGTATGCATGCTGCAGGTGGGAATTATCCATGTGGGCTGACTCCAAAAGCTCGGTGCCTTCTCCACCAGGTCACACCATTTCCATAGATCCCGTGGTTAACTAACTCAATGTCCCATACAGACCCGAATGACGGATTCCCGCTTTTATCTAGATCAGAAAAAGTTTCTTCTGTATTCACAATAACACAGTATCCCTTGCCCAGAATGTTTCCACTGTCTCCTTTGGTAACAACCTGCACCCAGAGACTGTGGGAGACGGACACGACCAGAGGCAATCCTTCTGGTCATACGCCATCACCAGAACCAAGGTGCAGGGCAGCGACACGTGGCTTTTGAATTAGGGGCCACAGAAACCCAAATCCCTTCACCGCCCCCTTCAGTCACCTCCTTGCATATCCCTAAGAATCCCAAGGAGCATCACTGCCCACAGAGCTTCATGAATGCTACCTGGAAGCATGGCCACTGACAGTGAAACGGAGACCAAGGAGAAAGTACAAAGAAGAATCAATAAGGGAAACAGGAATAGGAAGGTCGAGACAAAAGCAGAAGGTGGGGCAGCGCCCACCATCCGGCCAACGGACGCCGCTGCTTTTAGATACGAAGCTTGCAGGGAGGACCGGACGACGTTCTCTGGATTTTGGAATGCCACGTCAGACCATGACGTCCCAAGCCCGACGCATCTGAGCACGCTATAAATCAAGTCCTTTGGAAATAACATCCAAGCCGTCTTTATTGCTGTCACCATCCAACGAAAGGCGGTGCTCAGGTCACTGTCCCAGCCGATCCAGGCTTTCCCAGGGCTGCGGTTTCCCCACAAGTGAGCACCCTTCCTAAGTTTAACTAAGGCTGCTGAAGAGAAAGAAAACAGAATTCACTCCTCCCTGGAACATGTTTCTACAACGGTTTTATTATAAATAGGTTCTCTCAGAATAAACACACACTGCATTCAGCCCTATCTGCAAACTTGCTCTAATAACAAAAGGGGAAGCATAGTTAAACATTGATAACAACAGTGCGGCAGGCACCTCCTTCACCGGGTGAATGGCCTCGCGGCCAATCAATCCATCAAAGCAAGGTCGGAGGAGGCTGGTACCTCAGCCCGCTGGGTAAAGGAGCCGCTTCCTCTCTGCGGGCAGGGAGAAGGGGCCGCCCTCCAGCCGCCACCAGCCAGAGTGTCCTCAGCGGGAAGCCGCTCACTGTTTGCCTGGAGCAATGTCGGAGTAATCCTTCAAGACCCCGGCCAGGTGCTCATTGTGTGTCTTGAACCTGCGCTTCTTCTGGGACACCGGCTTCTTCCTCCGTTGGATGGGCGCCTGTGGAAAAAACGGAAACTGGCAGGAGCATTCATTAGCAGGTGGGCTAGGCGGGCGGAGGCTGGGGCTGTGGCCTGCATCCTGCCCAGGACCGCCCCCCAGGGCGTCATCTTTGAAAACAGGATCTCTCGTTAGTCTGCGTGGCACAATGGGCAGACCAGGCCTCCACAGTGACCTGACAACAGCCAGGGAAGTGGAGGAAGGACCAACCAGGACATCCTGTTTTCCAACACTAAAGACCGGCTTTAAACCTGCAGGTAATTTGGCCCTCAGTGTTGACTGGTCCCTTCCCACCTACACATTTCTCGCTCACAAAGCAGCCGTGAGCCACGCGGCCTCGTTCCCTGGGGCATCCATTCGTGGTCACTCATTCTCACCCCAGGATGAGCCCCTCTCGTTCTGCTGTCATTTCATACTCCACTCCTCTGGCACCTCACCATCCCTCCAGCCTGCGGTCTACCCCCGCCCCTCATACATCTCCCCCCAACACCCCTTGTGCGACCTGGATTTTTAGAGACTGTGAAGCACATGTGGGAGCCGTCTCACGACCCTGTTTCCAAGAGACAGGCTTCTACAACACGCATTTAGGAATCCTGAAAGCACGGTACAATTTCCCAACTGTAATCCAGTCTGACCGCTCTTCTTATGCAATGCTCGGCCAGGTAACACCCATGAGACACATGCTAACAAAGCCGACGGCTACCGTGCTCAGCAGGGTGCCCTTCGAGAGTCACTCTGGCCAGTGTGGGTGCTCGGGCCAGTCTTCTTCCTCCGTCCCCACATCAGGGTCCCCAAGGAGGTTTTCTCCTTGGCCGAAGCTGGGTCTCCTTATCTCGCACCTCACCAGCGATCAGTGCTCAGCCTGTCTCCACCTTGCCACAGTTTCGTCAGCCATATAATCTGGTGTCACGACCAATGTACGGTGAAGCCTCCACGGGCTCTGCTCTGATGCCTCACTGTGGTGTGGAGGATGAATTCTTGAAGCAAAAGCCCAAGCATTGTGAGCTCTGGCTCTCCCACGCTAGAGGCGCTCTGAGCAGAACTCAGTGGATCAATCCCGGGCAGTGCCCCGAGTCAGGAACACTCTACGGGCTCAGGCTGTGCCTCAGATCTGTTCTGGCACTGATTAAGAAAGGCCCTCCAAATCAGACCAACAGACACACGTGTATGTTAACACCCTGACAGTCAAAGTGGGAAGGGGGAGGCTGGTGAAAACATGGAAAACACGCTCAGGGTTAAGAGACGAGGGAGGCCAAATCACGAAGAGTAAAGACGTTGATTCTATATTTACAGACATGGAGAGACTGATGTGGGAGAGCTAGCTTCCATTTTCTTCTTTCTGGTTTATTACTCGGCAGAATCACTCGTTCTCTTGTAAACAGGTAATGAATATGAGGTTGGAAGAAGGGTCGTGAGTTCATCTTTCCGTCTAGTGGGCAATCGTGTGGGCCCAAAGCTAAACGAGAAGGGGGAAGGGGAGTGGGCTGGGTGGCATGTGGGACGCTGCCCAGCACTTCTGAAAAGCCCTTAGGGCTGTCCCTGAAACACAGTCCCATCTTTTTGTTTTAAACAACAATATTCTTCAGTGATGGTAGAGGACTATAAATCCTGGCTTACTAATCTATTATTGGTAGAGATGTGAACTCACTCAATTATTCTGGAAAACAATCCAAGATCAAAGAAGAAAATTCAATGAACCTGCAATCTAGTAATAAGGAGGTCAGCCCTGGAGAGGCCTCAAGTAGCTAAAAACATTTTGTCATCCACTCATCCATTCCTTTCTCCAGAAAGCATTTTAAAATACCTTCTAGAGTACACGTTATTTCCACTGATTCCTCTCCAAAAGAGCCCCCCTCGATTCAGTGTTACTGAGACGCCACTTCGGGATCATACATACCACTTTTTTTGGTCCAGACTCCTGCATAGAAGAAATACCCTGTCGCTTCAGATACTCTTCAATCTTCTCCTCATCCATGGAATCCACAGTGATGCTCCTCCAAAGTTTCTGAAATTCTGCATGAACAAAGTAAGCATCACTTTACATTCAGGGGCTGCAGCCTGTATCTAGTACCCAGTGAAAATCAAGACTCAGACATAATCCTTTGCTTCAGAGTTGAAATTCAAAGAAAATCTTTCTTTATGGGAACAAAGAGGCACTGATATGCCTTTAGCATCTACAAGTTGGGACTTGACTAGAAAAGAGCCCAGGGAAAGGAAAATCTTGGTTTTCTGGAAAGGAAATACTTGGAGGAAACCATCCAAGATGGCAGAAGAAAAGGAAGTAGTGCAGCCAGGCTCTTCTCTACACCTAGAAATCACCCCAGATTAAATCCTGATCAGGAAATCCAAGGGAAAAAAACCTCAGTGAGTCATTTTTCCAGACCAGGTTAGCAGAGGGAGATGGAGTGTGGAGACTTCCCCAAAGGGGCTTGACCTTGAGCAGGGGGTAACCGACAGCTCTACTCTCACCGCCCAACCACGGGTGGTAATCAAGGTAATGTAGCAGGGGGCCCTCAGCCAGATCTGAAGTGTTGAGCAAGTAGGCAAGCAAGTACCAGCTGTGCGGCGTTGATGCCAGGAGAACAGGGGTCAGCAGATCCAGGCCGGACAGGGAAGAAGTCCCAGACCAGAGGGAAGCCTCCAGGTACCATTCTGGGCCAGCAGAGACCTCCAGCTGCCTGACAAGAGCTGGAGACAGCAGCAGTCTACTGGAGCTCCAATCAAGGGCAAGCCCGCAGGAACACTGCTGAGGCCCAAATGCAGGTCAGAACCTTGCAGCACTCATACCAGAAGGGCAGCAGTCACACTTTTGTAAATCAGATTGTCTTCAGCACACTAGAAGCTTGCAGGTCCCCATCCTGTACTGTCCCTGAGATTCTAGAAGACAGCACAACACACTTAATACTCAAAGAAAACTGGAGCAGGACGCAAGAAGACACAAAACAGGTCCAAGTACAGTCTAGCCATTCTCTACATAAGTGGCAGAGCCTGGCCCTAACATAAAGGCCAAAGGTGGGAAATAAGGACAGAAGAATGAGCACAATCCCACCATAAAGAACTACTACGGTACTGAAAATGTTTAAGACACAAACACAAGAGAAGAGAATGACTCCAAAATATCTCCAAGCAAACCTTCAAAGAGAAACACAGCTTGGGGACAAGTTCAACTACAATTCTAATAAGAGATGAAGTGAGAGTTAAAAAAAGAAAAGAGCTCTAAATGACTTTTACAAATCAAAAAAATGCACTGGAAGGAGCAACTGGAAAAGAAACAAGAGTAAGAGAAAAATAGAAAGGAAATGAGAGTTACAGAAGAACTAGAAAGAGAATTAACAGCTCAGAATAAGAGGGATAAAGCCATACCCAAGCAAAAGGCTTCCTGAAAATCAGAATGGACTAAATATAATTTAATAACTCCATGAGAAAGCAAGAAACTTTAAAAAACAAAGTTTAAAAACTGGAAAAAAAAAATGAACTGTAAGCCATTTCATAACAAAAACAACTGACCTGGAAAAGAGATCAAGGAGAAGTAATGTAAGAATTGCTGGACAATCTCAAAGCTACGAACAAAAAGAGCCTAAACAACATTTCAAGAAATTATAAAACAAAACTTCCCAGAACCTTTAGAACCAGTGAGCAAAGTGAAAACAGAAAGAATTCACCATTTACCTACTGAAGGAAACACCAAAATGAAAAGTCCCAGGAACATTATAGCTGAAATTCAGAACTTCTAAATGAAAACAAAAGACAAAAACAGAATGAAGAGAGTCAAGTACCAGGAGCCATAGTCAGGATCACACAAAATTTAGTGGGCACTACTGAGAAGGCATGAAAAGCTCAGAATACAATCTTGAAGAAGGCAAATGATAAATGCTTACCACCAAGATTAACTTACCCAGCAAAACTAAGGATAATCCTATAGGGGAAAAATGGATCTTCAATGAAACAGGGGGCTTTTCTAAGCATTCCATATGAAAAGATAAGAGCTGCAGAGAAACTTTGAAATATAAACACAGGAGTCAAAAGAAAAATAAAAAAGATAAATGTAAGAGTAATCACAAGGGACTAAAGAAGGATGAACTGTTTACGTTCTCATTTGGGGAGATGATTCATGTATTCATCAGGGGCCTTGAGGGAATCTAATACAACAGAGAGTCTGGGAATGGAGCTCTCTTTTTATGTGTTAATGACGTTAAAAGAAGAAAGAAGGGGGAAAGGAATACTTGGAGGAGGAGAGGAAGAGTGGGAGAAATTATCTCACATAATTTGTGTGGGCAAGAAAGCCAACCTAACAAAACAATGAGGAAGAAGGGGCAGAGGGAAGAAGGCAACACAAACCTGAATTTCATCTGACCTGCTCAAAGGAGGGAACATCCCCCCCCACACACATCCAACATACATACCACACACACACACACACACCCCCCACAACACACTACATATCTATATACACACACATACCACACCGCACAAATGCCACACACACACTACATATCTGTATACACACACGTACCACACCACACATATCACACACACACACACACACACACACACACACACAGTGGGGTGCAGAAATAAATTTCACTCAGCAGGGTCGCAGGAGGAAAAGGCGAGAAGGGAGAACAAGAGGGAGACCAGACGAAAAGAGTGGTTAGTCATAAGCCAAGCCAACTTCAGTCCAGAGTGGACGGTGAAGAGAGGCTTAAGATGGAAGAAGTCAAGGCCTAGGCTCTTGGGGGGAGAAAGGAGGGGCAGGGGACCAGAGGCAAAATGCACCTGAGCTAGGGCAGACCGCCCCCCCTTCTTTGTAAAGAGGAGATAAATAACGCTGCTCCCCATCGGCTTTCTGGACCTCTTCTGCCAGTCGGGGCAGGCTCTTTTTTAAGGTGGTGTTTCCTTCAGTATTTTCTGGGTCTCCTTCAGCAAGCTGTCAACGTGTTTCTCATGATTTTCTTGCATCGCTCTCAGTCTTTCCTCTCCTTCTCTTACTTGCTTCTCAAAATCCCTTTTGAGCCCTTCCACGGCCTGGGACTGATTCATATTCTTCTTGGAGGTTCTGGATGCAGGAGCTTTGGATTCATCGTCTTCTTCTGGTTGTGTGTTTTGATCTTCTCTGTCACCAAAGTAAGATTCTATAGTCTTGAGTATTTTTCCTGTTTGCTCATGTTCCCAGCCAATTATTTGACATTTTAATTCTTTGTTAAGTGGAGGGTATACTTGTCCCAAATTTCAGGGGTTTTGTGTAGCTGTTTTCAGAGACACTTCTAGGCACATGTAAATTTTCAGTTCTTCCAAGGTGCTACAATCAAGGGCGAGGTGTTCAACTCTTTTCCTGGCCTTTGCTCTGGTCTGTGAGTGGCCACAAGCACTCTTTTCTGCCTTGGAACTGTGAGGAGGATTCCCTCTCTGCCACGGCCACAAGCCCCGCCACACCAGCACTCCTCTTTGCCCCAGGACCGCCACCCAGTACTGTGACCTAGATCCAAGCAGAGACAAAACAAGAGAATCCTGCCTCAGCGCGAGCAGAGATCCCTGCAATCCCCCTCCGATCAGCCACTGGATTTCCCCACTATCTATGGATCGAGAGCTCCAGAAGCAACTGCTGCCACTATGGCTGCCCCCCTGGGGCTGGACTGCTCTCCTCTCTCACCCGACAGACCTTTCCCACTGACCTCCTAAGTGTCTTTGGCGTTTGTGGGTTGAGAAGTCCGGAAGCCATCACAGCTGCCCATGATTCAGTCTCCTGAGGCCTGCTCTGGCCCCGACTTTGCCCATGGGCCCACACTGAACTGGGCTCCTCTCCCAGCTGGGTGTAACAGACCTTTCCTATCAACCATCCAGGCTGTCTTGGGCTGGGAATGTGTTTCTCTCTCTCTTTTTGCAGGTTCTGCTGCTCTAGAATTTGCTGAGAGGCATTTCTGACAGGTATTTGGAGGGGTCTGGGGGAGAGCTCAAGCAAGTCACTGCTTTTACTCCACCATCTTGGTTCCACCACATGATAGGTAACTGACCAATGCAATAACCAGTCATGATTCCAGGAGACTCATGATGAAATATACTCTTGAAAGAGAGGCGACATCCTCGGGGTAAACTGAGACATGCATATTCTTCTGACATGGCCAATGCAGGACTTCGTTTGCTTGGCGATGCATATGTGTGACAAGCATTTTGTAGTCTGTTTTCTCCCCCATGGGGTGGGAGTGAGAGGTGTTTTTTGTTACCTGAAAACAATAAATTTAAATTAAAAAAAAAAAAAAAAAAGAAACCCTTGCTCTGCCTTAAGCTCTGCAAGCACATAAGCAGTGCTCTATTTTCTTTTTTTTTTTTTAGGCACTTGGGGTTAAGTGACTTGGCCCAGGGTCACACAGCTAGTAAGTGTCAAGTGTTTGGTCTGAGGCCAGATTTGAACTCAGGTCCTCCTGACTTCAGGGCCGGTGCTCTGTCCGCTGTGACACCTAGCTGCCCCAGCAGTGCTCCATTTTCAAAGGTTATGCTGCCAACATTCAAGCTTTAATCCCCCAAACAGCTTTCTCCACACTTAGTGAAAGCAACAGGCTTCTGCAAAACCAAAACCCAAAACAAAGTAAACCCTCTAAACCCCAGAATATGCGTGTTACATCCCTTTCCCCACATATAATGGAACTCAGCATTCCACTGGTAAGTAGATTAACTTAGAGGAGTTCTGAGGGAGCAGAAGGCACTTAACAGAGCGCCTGGCACAAATCGGACGCTTAATAAACGTGTACTGACAGACTGATTGATACGGAACAGAATCTCTCTGTGGTCATTTGCTAGGATAGGGTGGGGGGACAGAGAGTCGGGGAATGTGCTTCTGACAGAGACCAAAGAGATGGCAAGGGAGGCTGGATGAGTTCTAAAGACAACAGAAGAGAGAGCGGTAAACATACAAGAAACGAGAATCGCACATTGTTTGCCCCGCATTTCTTATAGTCAGGAGGCAGCGGCGTTCAGTGTGTCTACAAGCTGGTGCTCTTCCTCTAAAGCCATCAGTG